AAAAAAAAAAAAAAAAAAAAAAAAAAAAAAAAAAAAAAAAAAAAAAAAAAAAAACGATGATTATGCACTTATTTTGAATGAGTGTTTGCTCAAACATGTTCAAAGCTTTTGTTCAATATGAATAATTATGGATAATGATCATGTCTCATGCCTAGTTTCTGTAGAGTAGGCGTTAATATGCTAATATTCTACCTCACTTGTAGGTTATTGAAGGGAAGCCATACAATAAAAGATGTGATGTCTATAGCTTTGGCATCTGCTTGTGGAAAATTTACAGTTGCGATATACCATACCCCGATCTTCGCTCTGCTGACGTATCATCTGGAGTTGTTCATCAGGTACAGTACTTGGGAGGACGTAATACATAAAACACGTCTCTTCAAGTGTAACGGCCCAAGCCCATCACTAGCAAATATTGTTCTCTTTGTGCTTTTCCTTTCAGGTTTCCTCTCAAGGTTTTTAAAATGTGTCTGCTAGGGAGAAGTTTCCACATCCTTATAAAGAGATCTCACAATCCACCCCTTCAGGGCCCAGCGTTCTCGCTGACACTCGCTTCCCTCTCTAATCAATGTCGTTACTCTCTCTAATTGATGTGGAATCTCGCATCAAGTCTCTTGTTAATGGCTTTTATTCTTGTGTCTGTTGCAACCAGTAGGGGTAGAACTTCAAAATAATATCTATAATGAAGAGCTTAATCTTAAACAATGTCCCTTTCCATTTATTCAGTAGTGTTATGAATTCTATGTTTATGTGTAAAGTTCATGAAGAAGATCTGAAGCATTAGCATTTTGTTTTGCCAGAATCTGCGACCCGATATCCCCGAATGCTGTCCTAATTCTCTGGCAAAAGTGATGAGGAAGTGCTGGGATAGAAATCCATCCAAACGCCCTGAAATGCATAAGGTTGTCGAAATGTTGGAAGCCATTGAAAAAAGTAAAGGAGAGGGGATGGTTTCTCCTAACAAAGTTTCTTGCAGCTTCTGTTTCAGCCCTTTTGGCACGCCCAGTGGTCCTTAATTCACTTGGACTCTCATCACTCAATGGTATTGTTCTCTTCCTAATAGTTGATGTTTTCCTTCTAAGAATTCGTTGTTGTTGTTTAAAACAAAACTGCTGCTATATATCATGCATAGGGTTGGAGTAGAATGGTATGATATTATCCACTTATGGCTTTGCTTTTGATTTCTCCAAAAGGTCACATAACAATGGAGATGTATTCCTTACTCATAAAGTCATGATCATCCTCTTAATTAGCCAATGTGGAACTCTCTCCCAATAATTCTCCCCTCGAACAAAGTACAAAATAGAGCCTTTGAACAACCTCCCCTTAGTCGAGGCTTGACTCTTTCTCTAGTGCCCTCGAACAAAGTACACCCTTTGTTCGACACTTGAGGATTCTATTGACATGACTAAGTTAAGGGCATGACTATGATACCATGTTAGGAATCACGACCCTCCACAATGGTATAATATTGTCCAGTTTGAGCAAAAGTTCTCATGGCTTTGTTTTTGGTTTCCCCAAAAGGCCTCGTACCAATAGAGATGTATTCCTTACTTATAAACCCATGATTATCCTCTTAATTAGTCAACATGGGATTTCCTCCCAACAATCCTCAACATGTAATTGTAAGTTCAAGCGAAAAATATCTAAAAATTCATTTGAGCTTTAAAATTGTCATGGAATTCAATATTCATAAATATTCCAAACATGGTGAAAACATAGTTAAAAATAAGGTTTAACAATCCCTCGAGCGGAGTTCAAAAGCTGAAACATTACTTCACTGTCCTACGAATAGAAATAATAATAAAGAGCAAGACATTGGGCCAAACAAATTAATATTGTAGTATCCACTAAAAAAGGGGAACCTATATACTATGCCATCACATCACATCAGTCTTTCTCTCACTCGTCATCGCCATCAAATTGGGACAAAATATTAATATTAATAAAAGTTGACTTTGTATTAAGTCAGTCAACTAATGATTGAGCTAGATGTAATTTAATTTGTCGGACAATGGATTCCATATTTTTCAAATCACAAACTTAGTGTTGAGGGATAATTTCTAAATTTTGAATATCAGCAATGGATTCGAAAGGAAATGATGTGGAGGTGTATGGCCTTCTTATTATGGGAAGCGATCAATATCCGCGATACATACTACAGGGGGGCTCGGAATGTCCCTGGTCCGAGGAGTGGGACATTGATTTTTCTAAACTTGATATCCAAAAAGTTGTTGCTCACGGGACTTGTAGAACTGTATTCAAGGGAACATATGACAAACAACTTGTTGCAGGTAATTAAACTTCCTTTACGGCTCATCTTTTCTCTTTTGATTTTGGTTCTGCTGCTTACGTTTATGTCCAAGTATGGAATCAGCTTCGAGCTGGGTGTTTGTGAACACAATTGGCTTAGGAACTCTACTCTTTTCCATATTACAGTGAAGATATTGGACTGTGGGGACGGCCCTGCTTTGTGCGAATTTTTTCGGCAAAGAGTTGATGTATGGCACAAGCTTCACCATCCTAATGTTACGAAAGTACCAACTTCTTCTTGTTCTAAGTTCTTATAGTGAATGCTTGATGTTCATGGGATCACATATTTTTTTGTATATGAATTTTGTTTTCTTCAACTCTGGTTTTTATCTTTGGTAACAGTTTGTTGGGGCTTCAACAAAAGCTAGAAATCTTCAGATTCCTTCAAAACTCTCTTCAATGGATCATCAAAGCTCCATTTCACCTACGGCTTGTTGTGTTGTTATTGAGTATCTTCCTGGTGGGACATTAATAGAGTTTTTGATTAGGAACAGGAAAAGGAAACTCCCCTTCAAGGATGCCATTCAATTAGCTTTGGATCTCTCTAGAGGGTAACTCTCTCTCTCTCTCTTTTCTAAAGTAGAAGATTTGCTAATTAGAGTTATAACTGATTACACAGGCTTAGCTATCTACACTCCAACAAGATTATGCATCATGATGTCAGAACTGTAAATATGTTGATAGATGCCCACAGAACCCTTAAAATTGCTGATATTGGAGCTGCTCGTGTTAAAGCTTGGAATCCAAGAGATATGAATGGAAAAACTGGTACCGTTGAATACATGGCCGAGAGGTAACTTTGTCATTCTGTTCTTAATACATCTCAGTATTAGGCACTAGCAATGTTGTTTTATCATGTGTAATAGCAATTAGAACTGCGTGTACACATTCTCCAATTATAGATGTATTTGGAAAAAAGGATACTGATTTGAAATATTACGTTCTTCTGTTGTTGTTTCCCTTTATGAACATATGTTCTTTTAGAGTGACACATTTCTCTACTTGGAGTCTGGAAATTGATGTGAATCCCACATTGTTGGAGGGGAATGAAGCATTTCTTATAAGGATGTGGAAACCTCTCCTTAATAGATGTGTTTTAAAATCGTGAAGCTGACGGCGATACATAACGGGCCAAAGCGGACAATATTTGCTAGCGGTGGACTTGAGTTGTTACAAATGGTATAAGACCCAGATATCGGGCGGTGTGCTAGTGAGGATGCTGGCCCCCCAAGGAGGGTGGATTGTGAGATCCAACATCGGTTAGAGTGGGGAATGAAGCATTCCTTATAAGGGTGTGGAAACCTCTCCCTAATAAATGTGTTTTAAAACCGTGAAGCTGACGGCAATACATAACGGGCCAAAGCGGACAATATTTGCTAGCGGTGGACTTGGGTTGTTACAAATGGTATCGGACCCAGATATCGAGCGGTGTGCTGGTGAGGGTGCTGGCCCCAAAGTAGGTGGATTGTGAGATCCAACATCGATTAGAGTGGGGAACGAAACATTCCTTATAAGAGTGGGAAACCTCTCCATGGTCCGTAATTTCATGATGTGTACTCTCATCACTTAATGATGTAGAATTAAAGGAGCCAAAACTATGCTGGTTTGTGTTTCTTTTGTGCTCTGTGGTGTGAAATTTGCTCTCACGTTGTGATTGCAGTTATCAATCTGTCTTTGTTTCAGACTATGTCAAGTTATCAATCTGTCTTTGTTTCAGACTATGTCAATCAAGTGTTCTCTTCTTATTTGTTTTGATTTTTGCCTTCCAAGTGTTTGTTCCTTGTTTAAATTTCATCATAAGGATTATTATGAGGAATAGTCCGACTAGTTAAGAGAAAGATTATGAGTTTATAAGCAAACGATATTGTTTCATTGGTAACGAGACATTTTAGGGAAACAAAAAAAAAAAATAATAAATAAATAAAGTGATGAGAGGTTATATTCAAAGTGGACAATCGTGATTCCTAATATGATATTAGAGTCATGCCATTAGAATTCTCAAGTGTCGAACAAAGAAATTGTGAGTTTCGAAGGTATAGTCAAAAGTGACTGAAGCGTTGAACAAATTGTGTATTTTGTTTGAGAGCTCAAGAGAAGGTCGAACAAATGATGTAGTTTGTTTGAGTGCTCAAGAGAAGGCTATGGTGTATTTTGTTCAAGGAGAGGATTGTTGAGAATTATTGAGAGGAGTAGTCCACATTGGCTAATTGAGAGGAAAATCATGAGTTCACAAACGAACACTATTTCTAATAATAAGGCCATTTGGAAAAGCTAAAAGTAACGACACTAGAATTTATCGAAATAAACAATATCATGCTCAATTGGCTAACACGGTTGCAATTACTCATCCAACCATCTCCATGACGCCGAACTTCATCATACCCACCACTGAGAATGACAGTGTCACGCGCTGAAGCAGCAGGGTCTCATTCGTAAACAATCGACTCTATCTAAAAGCTCATTTCCACATCTCTTGAGATGGGCACTTCGGATTATCTTCGGAAGGCGTTCGAGCTCTTCCATGAAGACATGAAAGCAAATGTCACTCTTTTCATGTTCAATTTATTAGTTAGGAACGGTCATGTTTGTTTAATGCGTGTTATCTATAACCCCAAGTAAAACGTGTTGATCATACTTGTCCAGTACTAATTGTCCATGGTTGCTGGCTCATTTCAAGCCCTTTCATGTTATGTCAAAAGAGGGTGTATGACTATTCACAAAAATCATGTCTACGCGTGAATTGAGGCTAAAATGTCCAAGATATATGGATATGACTAGTTATCATTTCTTCCTACCCTAAGTTATATGCTATTTAAGTTGGGGTGTTCCTTGTTTTAGTCCTATAAAATTCTTTAATTTTTCAAATGTGTTTCATCGCTCACGTTTCCTCAAACATTTTTTGCAAACATGACTCGTAGCTTGAACATACGCCAATGTGTCTATAAAGTTTAAATTTTTCACGACTGACTTATTTGCTAGACTAGAACAAGTATAGCACAATGGTTATCTAGCTAAACCACCAAATTTATTTTATAGTTATATTATAGATATAAATCCAAAGTAAATTACTATGAGATTATACAATATGGTTGAATTTATTAAAAGATTACCTTTTTAATAGAATTTATATTGAAAAATAGAAATTATTTATTAAAAAATTCATAAAATATTTCTTTTCCGACAAAACAGAAAGAAAGAAAGAAAGAAAGCTTTTCATGCCGGAATGTTGGTTCGTCCGTACAATACATACCGGTAATTCAGTTGAAATAGAATTTGATATCCGCCCTCTGTTTTATATTTTGCTAATTTCAGTATAAATTGATTTTGAAAGAGTCAGTGTCGATTCCGAAGGCTATAATATATGCAAATCAACCCGCGCTTTTCTGTTGATCGTTACGAAGTTCGTGTGGTGCTTCGATCCGTATAGCCGGTTTCTTCTTTTTTTAGAAAATCAGGTTTTCGATTTTTGGTTGCCTTGCGATACTCTGTTCTTCCATAACCCTTTTCACGTCCAGTGGGTTTGCCGCAGCGAACCCATTGGGACGAAATCGTGTTTTTGAATTCTCTGATTTTCATGATAGCGCCAATGGCGCTTCTATGATTTTCGTCCTACTTCGTCGCCTTCGCCTCCTTACCGGCTGTTTCATGGTCGTCTTTCATCAACATTTACCTACTCGATTTTAACTCTTCCTCTTTCCGGCAAGGGCTCCTTTTAGGGCATGCGTTCTTGCTTCGTCTGGGCTCCTTTTGCGGGTCGATTTTGGTGAGAGGTAATTACTATTATTGACTTCTTTTCTTCCTTCCCCCCACCCCTCCCCTCATGTTTTACCTTATTTTAGATTTCTAGGCGCTTCGTATTGGCCTTTCGGCTATCATAATTTGGGACGTTTTCTGAAGGTTTACTTTTATTTCTATAATTTGAGTTCTATTGTATTACAAATTGAAAGTTGAACTCAAATCCTAATTCAAGTTTGTTGAGGATTGAGGATTGTTGGGAGGGAGTTCCACGTTGGAGGCTTATAAGTAATGAATACATCTCCATTGGTATGAGGCCTTTTGGGAGCCCAAAGCAAAACCATGAGAGCTTGGACAATATCATACTATTGTGGAGTGTTACTCTTAACTTAGTCATGTCAGTAGAATCCTCAAATGTCGAACAAAGAAGTTTTGAGCCTCGAAGGTGTAGTCAAAAGTGACTCAAGTATCAAACAAATGGTGTAGTTTGTTCGAGGACTCCAGAGAAAGAGTCGAGACTTGATTAATGGGAGGCTGTATATACCTTAGGAGAGGCTCTGTAGTGTACTTTGTTCAAGGGAATGATTGTTGAGGGTTGTTGGTAGAAAATATAGATACGTGGATATGTGGAGTGTTGTGATTCCTAAACAAGTTTGGGAGAAATTTGAATTTGTTCCTTCATTGGTTTCTTTATTTTTACATTTCAATAGGTTAAAGGGTTATCTCCAATAATGGGAATTATGAAAGACAACAAAATGCTGTATAGTTCTTACTTTACCGGAATGCATCATCCTTCATGCTGTTTGATCTCTCAGGTTTGAAATCCTTGTGTTCAAGGTGTTCTATTCGGGTTATCTGTGTCAATCTTAGCAATGGGTTCGAAAGGAAAGGATATGGGGGGCACTACGATCCCAAAGGAGACACAGAAACAGGATAGAACTCCGAACTCAAAGGTGGCTGGTATGGGAAGCATTAGCAGCAAAGATATGGTATTCAGAGCAGATATGATAGATTTGAAAACCCTAGATATGCAGCTGGAGAAACACTTTAGCCGTGTTTGGTCAATGACCCAGAATCAAAGGCCAAAGGAGGAGTGGGAGATTGATTTGTCTAAGCTTGACATTCAAAAAGTTATTGCTCATGGGACTTACGGAACAGTATATAAGGGTGCATATGACAATAAAAAGGTTGCAGGTAAACATCTTATTTTTGATGATGTGAAATTGCAGCTGAACTTAATACATTTCTATATTACCTAAACTGTACTTTTCTGTGTTATAGTGAAACTGTTGGACTGGGGGGAGGATGGTCTTGCCACTACTGCTGAAACTGCTGCTCTGCGGGCATCGTTTCGGCAAGAGGTCGCTGTTTGGCACAAGCTTGAACATCCTAATGTTACAAAAGTACTAACTTCTTCTTCATGTTCTTATAGTGAATGGTTGATGAAACATTGAATTATATGACAATTTTTTTGGCTATATTTCTGTATGTGAGTTTTATGTTCTTTTAATTCTGGATTTGAGTGGTTATATCTTTCATAACAGTTTGTTGGAGCTTCAATGGGTGCTACAAATCTTAAGATTCCTACAACGGAGGATCAAAATTCGCTTCCATCTAGGGCCTGTTGTGTTGTTGTTGAGTATATTCCTTGTGGAACATTAAAACAATTATTGATAAGGCACAAGAAAAGGAAACTTCCCTTTAAGGATGTGGTTCAGTTAGCTTTGGATCTCTCCAGAGGGTAACTCTTTCTCTAACAATGTTGGACATCATCTTTTCTAAAGTAGAAGATTTGCTGATCAGGATTATACTAATTTTACAGGCTTAGCTACCTACACTCCAAGAAGATTGTGCATCGTGATGTCAAAACTGAAAATATGTTGATAGGTGCTCACAGATCTCTCAAAATTGCCGACTTTGGGGTTGCCCGTGTTGAAGCTCAGAATCCAAGAGACATGACTGGGGAAACTGGTACCCTTGGATACATGGCCCCAGAGGTAACCTTTTCATTCTGTTCTTAATACATGCGATTATTACGCACTAGCAATTAGAACCATGTCTT